GTGTGTGTGTGTGTATGTGTGTGTGTGTGTGTGTGTGTGTGTGTGTGTGTGTGTGTGTGTGTGTTCTGGACAGCTAAAAAATACGTGTTGCGTGTGTCCGCTTTCTCTTTTTCACTATTGAATTTCATTTCTCTGTTTTCTGTACGGATTGGTTCGTAGTTCACACAAGTATTTTATAACTTACTGGAACTACCTCAAATTCTGTAATGCGTGACTATGTACATATTGAGAAACAATAAACAATTTAATTTATTATCCCTGACTCCAGATTGCTATTGAGTATTTGATATAAAAGCCCGACGCCGCGATTAGTACCCGGCCAGCAGTTGCGATTACGACCACTATTCTGTATATATTACTCTACTCTGTGGACCACTATATAGTTGGTCTAGTACCTAGTAGCTGGTCGGACAGATAGCATGGTAATAAACACCTTTATTATGGAGTGTAGAAGTAAGGAGTACCAACTCCCCTAGAATAGTTGAAAAAGTGTCCTTCTGTAAGCAGTAAATAACAGTTCAAAAACTCTCCACAACAGCGCTGGAGTAGCTACTGGGATGAAATGAACTTAGCAGTAGTCGACGGTTTGAAGAGTGCTGCTAAAGTGCTCAGTAGCTCCAAAATCTAAAATAATTTTATTTAGTAAATATAACGTCCACTTCCCCCACTCTCACTAATACTTTTCGGCACGTTCTTTAAAATTTAGCCCGTAGCTATAGTGGCGCTACCCTTATTTAGCGGTTTTCTATGGACACTTTTTAATACACAGTCTGTACTCCTTACTTCTACACTCCATAACCTTTATAAAAAGGTGCAATCATGGAGTATGTAATGAAGGCTAATAATCTTTCTTTCACTAGATGTCGCTACTTGATACTGACGCCACAAAATAAGTATACTGACGCTAAGTTTTTCGTCACACAATGTCATTTAATTGAGATGTTAATTTTAAATTAAAGGTTTATAACTTTATAGAGTTTATATAATACACAAAACAATGCCGCAGTGATTTGCTCTATAATTTTTTGCACATTTTAAATCTTGTTTTAATTTTTCTACATTTACGAATATCTGTGGTGTGGTTAATTTATTTTTAATCTAATGAATATAAGATATAGTACCAACATAAACTTTGAAGTTTAGAATTTTGGTACAAATTAACTTCCTCGCTATGTAATCTGTCAAATATTGCACCCCATTTTAGGTAGTGTCGCCCTGGTAGCAGAAATGTGCATGCTCTAATTGCGGGGTCACGCATGGAATCCACAATCCTACCGTTAAAAGCCTATTAAAGTCCACCGTTGAACATAGGCCTAATTCATATCCGTTCCTTATGGGGTATATTTGCCATAGTTGCCACGCTTGGCAATCACAGTTTTTTTAGTCGTTATCAGGAAGACACTGCTGCATCTCCCGATTTGTTACTCTCTGTCGCCTCTCACGTCACCCACGGGATGATATGGGGTAGTTGATTCTTACACCCCCACTACACGGTAACACAATCATGAATGCTTGAGCAATCCGCCAAAAACGATATTAGACCTTTTTATTCGAGTAGAGACAATACAAGAGAAACCAACTACAAGTGTCTATGAAAACTATGTCGTCATCGTTACAGCTCTTCACAAGGCCCACTGGTAAACATAGGGCTCCCCCAAAGAAAGCACAGTCTTGAGTACACGTCGTCATTAATTTCACAAGGACAAACATCAAGACCCGGAACAATTATTTGTAGGCCATACAAATACGTGTTCCATGCGGGATTCGAACCCGCGATACATTTTTGGCGCTGCAACTATTTGTTAAGCTACTGCACCACGGAGCCGTCATTCTTTAAAAACCTGTTGTTACATCGGATTCTAAGTATCACTAAAGGTGACTAGACGCTGAAATTAGGACTGTTAGATATGGGACCTTCATCAGATTCCACATACACGGAATAAAATTACACAAATTCAGCAAATAGCAATGTAAGCCAAATTTCACACTGAGAATTATCTAAGCGGGCGACGTGAACGGACTGCGGCAAAGTTACTGGGGCGGGTTATAGTTACCGAATTCGTTTTCAAGTTTACTGACATCGTGTACATTTTACCTAATGTCCGTACATTTAGGTTAATGGTTTTGTAACTAACTAATTCCATATCGTGGGGGGCGGGGGGTGTTACCTTTTGCTTACCGTTAAGACGCTGCGGTTCTATGTCCGGTCCATGTTACAGAACCGTTGTACTATGTCGTTCAATCTGGTTCTACTGTGAATATCCTTATCGTTAAGTTTATCACTAAGAGAAACTCCGAGCATAGCGCTCTCCATAGGTCGCTGAGCGACCTTAAGCTTCCTCATATTTCTCAGAGCCTTATGTCTTTAGTATATATACAGTAATCTATGGCCTTATGTTATCACTGGAACTCTCATGTTCACAAATAAGGGATTTGAAAAAAGGGATGATTAAATAAAAAAAAATGTTTAATTTAGATTTTTTTTTAATCAACCTTAAATATATAAAATTTGAGATCAAAAACAGTAGTGTAATTTAACTGGAATACAAGATTATAAGCTAAATAGAAAATATGGCACTGTTTATAGACAATCTGATATTTAACCATAGACTGAAAAAGCTTAAATTTAAAATTAAATAAAAAGAAATACAGAGAAACTTGCACTAAGGTTCTCTTATATTTTCGCGAACAAAAGCTATACGGGTTTTATCGTGTTAAATTTTAACACATTTTAAAAACATCTCAGTAAAACTGTACCGTGGGAACTGTAAAGCACTAAAACATAGGGAATTTGAAATAACTTAAAATTAAACGTGACAAAATATGTAGTTTAATTCAAGTTGCATTGTAGAGTTATTTATAAAATGATATCCTAACAAAATTTATTTTTACTGTAGAAAATGTTCCTCTTATGTAATCATTCAAAGTTAAAAAATCTTAAATTTTAAATCTAAAATCACTTTGGTGATGAAAGTTTTAACTTAATTTTATAGTGTGTGTGATGATCATATGTACGAATTAAGTCTTGTACATACATAATTTAGTTCACTAAAACATTGCTGTCTTCTTTAGTTATAAACATTAATACTTTCTTAAGGTATTCGATAAAAACAGTTTAATTAACCGGTTCATTAATAAAATCACGACTCATTTGGTTCTTATTAAGTGTTACACAACTTATTAACAAATAAACTATAGTTAATATATCTCAGTGCATTTGGCATTTGTAAAATAATCTCATTTATAGATGAGTTCAAGTATAAACAACATATTCGAATAAGTTTAATAATGCTTATGTACTAATTCGTTTAAATGTACTAAAAACTCTCAACATTTGACTCGTAATCTCATATTACTTGTGTTTGAAATACAAAGCAATGTAACGATTTATACATGATAACACATTTTAATTAAATTAAAAAGAAGAAACTGACTTAGATCTGAATCATATAGATCGAATAACAAACTTAATTACTAGTAAAATATTTAGTAGAAAACAAAACAAATCCTATCATAGATGAATCTAAAAATAACAAAAAGATAATACTGGTCACAGAAAAAAACATGAGTAAATGAACTAGACATTTCCGAAATGATACTGAAATGATACTTAATAATCAACGAAAACAAAACTTCATAAATTTAACCTTACCTTTTGTTTCATTAAATAAAAGTTTTAATTAGATCTAGTGAAAGAATTAACACATAAAATTCCCCTGCATAACTTTTTAAATTTTAATTTATACCGTATTTGAGTTAAAGAAAAATGTTCTATTATTTTACAGATAAATTATGTATGTCGCAGAATTTAAATAAAAGCACATTAAAACACGAGGCGCATATGAGTTGTGTGTTATTGTTGTGTATACTTAACACTGTGTACTGTCTACTGTATTTAACAATGAAAGAACCGAGTAAAAATGACTAATATATAAACAAATAATGTTAGTTAGCTCTATATAAAGCTACGCTCTAAAAATAACGGTATTATTAAAACACTAAAAATATCATCATTATTTATAGCCTTATAGCTATGGACGGGTACTTTTTAATCATACGGTACCTAAAAGCATCATATAAAAACACTATTTTATATATATTAACTATATAACAAACAATACTGTTCTAAAGTAATGCATACTCCATTCCATTACTCATCAATGGTACGATAATATAAAAAAAACATGATTATATGTATTATATTGCTAGAAAGGGATAGCTAGCTAGATTTCTAAATAGCATCAAAGTTACACAGGATGTTAGTATAAACACCGTTATCCTTGAAACCAGTTGTTTGGTTTCACTTTATCATCATCATCATTACAACCCTTCACAAGTCCACTGCTGAACATAGGCCTCCCCCAAGTAACGCCACAAAGCACGGTCCTGAGCCACCTGCATCCATCAACTTCCTGCATGTCGTAACAGGTCGTCACTCCATCTAGTGGGGGGTCGCCTTATTTCACTTATAGAACGTAAATTCAATGAATTTAAAAAAAACGCTATTTTCTTTCATAAAATTTAAAAAGTTTCTGTCCGACACCGTCGTAAATTCATGGATACCCTATGCGCCCGAGTAACGTTACCACTGTAAAGATCACCGCCCGCGCTAGCTACCTACACAACATTTCAATAAAAACACTATAGGTACACATAACCTGTGATGAAACTTTTCCTTCATACTTTCATCCTGGCTTAGGACAGGCAAAAATTGAGGAAAAATTGAGATTTTACTAAAAAAAAAATGTTATTTTTCATTGAATTTACGTTCTATAAGTAAAACCAAACCACTTGTTTCAATGGTAACAGTGTTTACACTAACAACCTGTATATTCAGGAAAAAATAATACAATTATTTTTTTCTGAAGATATAACTTTGATGCTATTAAGAAAGCATTAAAATATAAAAAAAGTCAGTCCGATAGTTTAATAAATAAAATAATATGTATATTGTTTAACTCTGGTTGCCCCACTACCACTTTGTTAGGGGCATTGATTACTAATTCACGATTTAGTAATTTTAGATTAGCGCTATTAGGTAAAAGGTCAAGTCTAGACAGTTCTAGTTTTAAGCAACGTAAATCGTTGTGATAGGGCAAGTTGGAGGGGAGTGGTTCTATAAAACCCTCCCATAAATACGGCTCGCCAGTGACTTTGTTGTACAATGTGATTGATCCAAATTTATGTATGGTTTGTTGTGTTGTTAACGTCTGAAAATGGAAGCAAAAAATACTATTAGTGTAAAATTTAACACTTTCACTGTTCGGTTTCCAGACACAATAGTAACAAGACAATAGCAATTACCTATATATAGTGCACGGGACAGAAAAAGGGTTAATATAAAGTTTTCACATAATATCATTGCAGATTCCCATTAGTGCAAAAATTAACATTATGTATCCATCAATCCATTAATTACAGCCTATTGTTCATTGCCACGTTGGTTCAGTGGTTGTAGTAGTGCGACTGCTGATCATGATGTCCTGGGTTCGAATCCCGGGTGTCGGGCCAAAAAACCAATTATTGAGATTTTCCGTCAAGAAATTCTCAGTTGCTGCCCGGAGTCAGGAAGTTGGCGGTGTCTCACCCGCGTGCCTCGGAAAGCACGTAAAGCCCTTGGTCCTGCGCCTGATCTCTCTCCAGTCATGTCGGTATACCGTCCCATCGGACTATGAGACTGAGGGAATAGAGAGTGCACCTGTGCTTGCGCTCAGTATAATCCGGTCCTGCACCGATGGCTAGTCTCCGTTGAGGCTGGCCGCCGTGGCCGAAATTCGGTCTGGAGGACATTATTACAGCCTATAAAAGTCTACCGCTAAACATAGGCCCTCCCCCCCTCCATAGATTACCTCATAGGATTTTGTTATATCAAGTATTTATTATATCAAGTAGTTAGTAGGAACATGCTTCTGCCTATCACCTGTTTAAATTTTCCCCTGTCGCCTCTTACGACACCCACGGGACGTTACGGGATAGTGTGTATTCTTACATCATAACAGTATACAGTATAAGAGACAATATGATCATTTGTCCATATTAGGAGTATTTACACAAAAAGATCCACAAAAACAACTTCGTTAAAATTTGAATAGCTTATATTATACTTATATAATTCAGCCACAACGAGTCGCTAAATTTCGTTATCAATTGGAATTTTTATTTGAATTGTTTTTACTATATTGTTACAAGTCAGTTGCGTGTTGCATCACATTGCACGAGAATGTTCCCAAAGATAAAGGTCACTGCCCTCTGTTGATAAAATGTGTGGGCGTAATAGACACCGCTCAAACTGTTGCAAGCAAGACGCAACCTTATTCTTACGTGTATAAAGCCTTTCCTCTATTAGACATATTGTTATTCGCGAGTGTTCCAGTATTTTCCTATGGAACGAGTTTGAATGGCCCGGATTGACTTAGAATGTTCTATATTTCTCTTATTAGGAATAAAAGCGTGCGCCGGTGATCGGAGAATAAATTACATCGAAAACGCGATAGTAAACTCTACTTCGGAAAGCAACTATGAGCAAACGAGATGTGTTAAAGAGTACATCATACATTCTCATCTTACTCGGCATTTTTGCTCACCCTACACGTAATCATATGAAAGTATTCGATATACATAACCATCACAAGTAACACAAAAATCCTTGCATCTCTTACGAGGTCGTCACTCCAACTAGTAGGGGGTTGCCCAACATTGCACTTGCCAGTACGAGCTTTTTTATAGGATAGGGTGACAAACGAGCACACAGTCCACCTGATGCTAAGTGGTTGTTGCGGCCCATAGACATCTACATCTAATCTCGATTACGTTCCCCTCGGTTCTGGTTCTTAAGCAGCAATAAGCTACTATTTAACGCTGGTATTCTGTGAGAGCGTGGTCCTTCCCCGGTCGAGCCGACTCATTCGTGCTACAACTATACCACTAATATAACTGCAGCATGGCTACCACATATAAGCTGCCACTCAAGAACCTATTTTCCTCATCGGTAGTGGGGTTTCGTGTTGTATGGCTAGCCAATTGCCATTTCAGCTTGCTGATCCGTAAATTCATATTAGCTTGCATTGTGTACTAGCATAACATAGCAGCATGCTGCTGTGTTTTGAGTGGTTAATGACAAGAACTGGATACAATTTTACTAGTAACGAGGCATTTCATCTTAACCTCGAAGATGACAAGGCATCTGCATTTTAATTCTTAATCGAGATTAGATGTAGATGCATCCAAAGCATCCACTTACCATCAGATGGATTGCTGTAAGATCGTTTGTCTAACCTGTATCTTAAAAAAAATCGTTCACAAACATCATACATAAACTATGGAGTGTAGAAGTAAGGAGGACCAACTCCCATAGTAGAATAGTTGAATAAGTGTCCATCTGTAAGCAGTAAATAACAGTTCAAAAACTCTCCACAACAGCGCTGGAGTAGCTACTGGGATGAAATGAACTTAGCAGTAGTCGACGGTTTGAAGTGTGCTGCTAAACTGATCAGTAGCTCTAAAATCTAAAATAATTTTATTTAGTAAATATAACCTCGAAAAAGTCGTCTATCCCACTAATATTTTTCAGTGCGTTCTTTAAAGTATACCCCGTAGCTATAGTGGCGCCACCCTTATTTAACATTTTTCTATGGAAACTTTTTAATACACAGTCTGTACTCCTTACTTCTACACTCCATAACATAAACTCTAAGTCTGTCACTCAGAGAGGTATGCAGAGAGAAAGAGAGAGAGAGAGAGAGAGAAAGAGAGAAAGAGAGAGAAAGAGAGAGAGAGAGACTTACATTTAACATAATGCTGACACACCTCTCTCGCTTCTATTCCATTCATATATCTAAGCATGTATGCATGTTGTTTAAGGGTACTCTTGATTTTGTCCATCTTCAATACAATATGTATAAAAAAAAAACCTGTGGTTTTGTGTATTCAAACGTATAGATTTTTTTTTTCAGAAAACTCGAGCATTATAAAGTTTCACTTTAATAAAAAAAAATAATTTGCAAATTATATGTGGTTTTGTTACATCTGCATTGCCTGGGGAGTAAGAGGATTGTCAAAGACCCCGCTTTACCGATGCTCGTGTCAGTTAGAGGTAAAAAACAGGTAAAACCGTATACAATTTGTAACTAAAAACTATTTAAATTAATTGATTAAAACTACTTTTAAGCATTTTATCGCTTTTGATTTTTGATTCCCGACGTTTCGGGTGCTTTCCAGCACCCATGGTCACGGAGTACTGAGGTGACTGACGTCCCAATGTCATTGTTAACCCGGAGTACCCTCAGCTTTTTCAATTATTGTTTATGGTCCGATCTACGCAGGTTGAACTTACTGTGTCTTGAAGTCCTGCAGCGGTACGCTTGGGTTTTGTTTTAATTTTATTAATTACAGGACCCCAGGCAGGAGGTAGTACTCAGCCTTCTTCTCTATTGAAATTAGGATGTTTTTTAATTTCAATAGCCTCACGTATCATCCTTGGTAGGAATCGATGTTCTTTCGCGAGGATTTGTGGTCTATTAAATCTGATGTAATGGTTGGGGCCGTCTAGAATATGATCACAAACTGCAGACTTCCCGAAACATTGGTGCTCCACGCCAGCTATATGTTCTTTTACGCGGGTGCTATTTTTTTTTTGTTTTCTCTATATATGAGTGACCACATTCACAATCATTCACAAACGTCGGGAATTCAAAATCAATAAAATAAACGCGATAAAATCCGTAAAAGTAGTTTTAATCAATGTGTAGTGTTCGCGTAAATATAAGAAATCATTATTTTAATTAAATAAAAATGTTATATGTGGTAGAGCCACGCTACAGCTATGGTTGTAGCACGAATGGGTCGGCTCAACCGGGGAGGACCACGCTGTCACAGAATACGAGCTTAATGCTGCGGTGTTTCGTACGGTGAGTGTAGAGATCCGGAGATCCTCTTTTACTGGAAACAAGGCATTCCATCTTAGTTCTCAGGGGTGACAACGCATCTGCGTCTAGATTCTTAATCGAGGATAAATGTAGATGTCTATGGGCCACAGCATCCACTTACCATCAGGTGGACTGTGTGCTCGTTTGTCACCCTTGTTCGCTACTACTCTACTACTATTAAAAAAATGGTCGAGTTTTCTGGAAAAATTCTATACATTTGAATACTGATTCTGATAACGAACTTAACGGAAACCCCATGGTTTTTGTTATATGTTATATATCGCCTACAGGGTCGATAAGTCGAGGGTGCTCCTTGCCGACTATATCACTTACTTTTGCAGTATAAATTTGCTGTCACTCTTTCCTCATTCATTCTTTCTATGAACCACGGATGCATTCCTTTCTTAATCCTATTTACAATATAAATATATGTTATACACTAGCAGTTCCCCGTGACTTCGCCCGCGTGTTTTTAATTTCATGGGTTTTAATATTTTTTAATGAATTTTTAATGAAAAAAAAATTAATATTTTTGAATGAGGAGCGCAGTGGCGGATACAAGGGTTTACCGGGGGTCCAACGTAGGGACGGACCACTACCTGGTCTTATGCCGAATTAGGGGTTTATTCAGACGTTGGCGGCATCAGACATCTGTATATCGTATAAGAATTGAGAGGTTACAAGATGAAGATGTGAAAGACAAGTACAAATGTATACTGAGAGAAAATATAAGTAATTTGGATAAGTTGTGTGGCATAATGTTAAGAAAGGTTTAGTGGATGCAGCTACCGAAGTATGTGGTGTTAGTAAGAGAACGAATGAAAGGAATGTCAATACGTTATGGTGGGATGATGAGGTACGTATGGAAGTTGAAGCAAAGAAGAGAGCATGGCTAGATTTACTAGCGTCCAAAGCTGGTAATTCTGGCGGTAAGAATGATGAGATTGAAAGAAAAAAGGCAGAATTTAAACGTCTAAATAAGAGAGTAAAAGAATTAGTTGAAAGGAAAAAGCAAGAAAGAACGGATAAGAATGATAGAAGAATATCGGATAACTTCCAGGCAAATGTTCTGGAAACTCGTAAGAAATACCAGGGGACATTCAAAACAGCCTAGATTGAATGCGATACGAGACGAGAATGGCTGTATTCTGAATGATGAAGTGTTGAGTCTAAAGAGATGGAAGGAATATTTTGAAACCGTATTTATGAGTGAGGAGATGTGTGAACTAAATGAAATAGAAATTCCGAAAGAAGATGAAAGAGATAGGGAGATAATGCAGTTTTAT